CTTTGTTTCGTTCCTCCCCTCTCCTTCCTCTTTCTCTGCTTAATTCTTTTCCCATCCTTCTTCCTCACATGCATCGGTAGGTTCAGCTCACAGTGCAGTCGACGAGGTGGTGGGACGCGTCAAGCAACAAGGTGAGCCAACGAGGGGCGGCAAGTGCAGCTGACGCCTAGCAGGTGATTGTGGAGAGGAGGACGCAGCAGCAGCAGCAGCAGCAGCAGAAGGATCATAGCTATAGCATCCACGTGAAAGAGTCCGAGCAAGAAATTTTCTCCAAATCGACTTGAATAATCGAAAAGAACAACACGCTCCTGCTCCTCCTCCTCTACCTTTAGGCCCGAGTTCGGGGCAAGGCCTTGCCGGCCGCATCCTCTGGCAGCTTCTTGTGCCTGCCGTCACAGAAGGGAGCGTTGGCCGTCTGCTTGCACTGGCACAGCTTTCGCTGCTCAGTTGCCGTTGCAGTGTAGGACATGGGCTTGAACGCAGTCCCTTGGTGAGAGCCATCGCAGAACGGCTGCTTTTTGGAACGCCCGCAGGTGCACCAGTAGTAGGTCTTCCTCCTCAAGGTCCACTGGCACCGAGGACCTCATCGCACAGATAACCTTGTCCGCATCTTCGATCTCTGCCATGCTGCGTGGCAAAGCAGCGTCAGCGCTCCTTCGAGCTCAAGGGATTCCCGAGCTAATTCGCAATGGGACATCCTTCCTCAATCATCACGGCGTTCTCGTTGGACCGCCCTAGGAATGTCCACATTGGAGCTCTTTGTAACATGTCTCTTCCCTCTCCTTCTCTCTTCGAGCAGAGCAGCAGTTATTGCTCCAGCTGGAGGAGAACAGATGCTCTATAATATGATCAAGTCGCACCGCAACAGGCCGGGCGAGGAGTCCGCGGACTCCCACCTCCTTCGCTCTCGATCTCGCGGATCTACCTTCGCGGTCCTGAGTCCATCCCGACAACATTAGCATCAATCTCCTCCTGGCTGTATGCCCACCCGTACTTTGTAAGTATGTCTTTGTTTTCCACATGTCTCACTGCGAAGTTGTAGAGGTTCTCCTTCTTAACGATAAACACAATCCTCACCTCCCAGTTCCCCTCTGGCTCAACGCCCAAAGAATCCAGGCACTCAGACATGTATCGCAGTTTGAGGTCATGTGTCTCCGCAATGGTCACTTGCACGAAACACACCGACGTCTTGTTCCAGTCCACGATCACTGCATCGTAGCCTCCTTGATTCCATTTCAATGGCTTCAGGCACATCCGCGTCATCCCATTCCTCCGAGCCTCGTCGATTTCGCTTGTGCCCAGATATTTCACATCGTACAAACCCCAGCGGTCCCATTTCTCTGGCACGCCTGGTGGCTCTGACTCCCTCCCTGACCTGAGCAATACCTGCAGCCCTGGCTCTCGTCCTATCCGAGCAAAGAACAGCATCTCAAACAACACACCCTTAAGTGTCGGATTCGCAGCAATGCCAGAGAGCTCCTCAATCTCCCTCACAAAAGATTCTCCAAGCCTCTGTGCTAGCTCCGTGGCAACAAACCTGCTCACAGGCGTCCAGTACACTTGGCTTCCCATGCGATACTTCCCCTGTAGCCGATTGACAAACTGGTCTGAAGTATCGCCCATGCTCATGTCAATGAGCTTCTTGTAATCAGCGACACTGTCCATCGCTTGACGAAGATCGTTGATTGCTTTCTCTGTCGTATGTTCGAACATATATCGGCATGAGCCTCCAACAATCTGAAACTTCGACTCCACCTCGCTGGACCTTTTCTCTGCTTCTGTCACATCCGATTCCAAGCTCCATCCCATCACTCCAGCCACACTCACGTAGAACAACTCGTGCCTAATGGCCTCCAGGTACTCCTCCAGTGTCCACGAGTACACCATCAGCTCCTCTACTTTCTCATTTCTATCTTGCTCAGGTTTTTTCTTTGCTCGAGAAGTCATCGATGTCGTGATTACAACCCGCCGATTGGCCCGGTCCTGGTGGAGCCACAATACACATTCAGTAAGCACAGACTCATGTAACCCCTGTTGATAACCGTCCAAGGACACGAGATACTTCTTGTCGCTCTGTGTCCATTCCCGAAGAATCCTCCTCAGCCCCTTGTCAATCTCATTGCGTGTCATCTCAACAACTCTCAACACTCCTTGATCGACTTGTAGGACTTTGACTGGACCCCACTTCCACACCCGTACGCACATCACTCCCCATTTCTTGTCCTTGCTCAGCGATAGGAGGAAGGACATGGTTGTCATCGTCTTCCCCGTTCCTGGAGGGCCCAGGATCCAACCCAAACAACCGGCCTTGCACACCTTCTCCTCGATGAAACGCCACTGCTCATTGAAGCATTCCCTGCAGTAGAGCACCTCCTGTTTTGCTTGCCCGGAGCTGAACTGATCCACAAAGGATCCACCCAGACAGAAAAGATTGCCCCCCTCTTTGTGCCCAACTGTATCACAATTCCAAGCTATCTCTGTCCAGCAAATGCTGTCTTCCTCCTTCAATCCAAGCTTCTCCCGCTTGATTCTAAGCTTCTCCTTCTCCTCCTTAATCTGCTCTTGAAGCTTCTCCTCCTTGATTCTAAGCTCCTGCTTCTCCTCCTTGATCTGCTCTTGAAGCTTCTCCTCCTTGATTCTAAGCTTCTCCTTCTCCTCCTTGAGGGCTCCCTTCTCCTCTTTTAGTCTCTTTTGCTGGTCCTCAAGCGACTTCAGGACCTCCTTCCAGTACTCCTTGTTTTCTTCCCCCTGCCCATAATATTTCAGCATAGCCTCTTCCTTCTGGTTTTGAAGATTCCCCTCCTTTATTTCAAGCTTCCCCTCCTTGATTCTAAGCTCCTGCTTCTCCTCCTTGATTCCAAGCTTCTCCTTCTCCTCCTTGATTCCAAGCTTCTCCTTCTCCTCCTTGATTCCAAGCTTCTCCTTCTCCTCCTTGAGGGTTCCCTTCTCCTCTTCTAGTCTCTTTTGCTGGTCCTCAAGCGACTTCAGGACCTCCTTCCAGTACTCCTTGTTTTCTTCCCCCTGCCCATAATATTTTAGCATAGCCTCTTCCTTCTGGTTTTGAAGTTTCTCCATCTGCTCTTGAAGTTTATCCTCCTTGATTCCAAGCTTCTCCTTCTCCTCCTTGATCTGCTCTTGAAGCTTATCCTCCTTCACTTGAAGATTATCCTTCTCCTCCTTGATCTGCTCTTGAAGCTTTTCCTCCTTGATTCTAAGCTCCTGCTTCTCCTTCTTGATCTGCTCTTGAAGCTTCTCCTCCTCCTTGTCTGAGCGCAGCTGCAACCTCTTGCTCCCAACTGTGGACTCCTCCTTGTCGCTGCTATGTCGGCGTTTGGTCATTAGCGGCGCTGTGCTAGCGAAATTCCGAAAGAGCTCCTCAGAATCGTCGGGGAGGGTTTCATATTGTAGGGGCAGATTTGAAACTGAGAGATGAATGGGTGGGGGTAATCGAATGACACATAGTACGGGGTTAATGGACTAGTCTAATCCAGATATATGATGGGTGGGGGTCATTTCGGAGTAGGTGGGGGTTTGCAACGATCGCAATGGTGGCGCGTACATGGTGGGGAGGAGAGCATCCAATTTCACAGTAGCAGCACGTTGTGAGCCTGCAGAATATGTACACGTATTCAGAACTACATTTGATATTCTAATCTTAAGTGAATGATATCTTGATTGTGTGTGGTACAACATTCTGTTTTCACCATTTTTTGAGTCGCCAACTGCTGCAGATTTGCATTTAGAAGTACCATGCCGGATGATTTTGGTGTGCTGACTCACTTCTGAAGCCATGTTGATCTTGTACAAATGTATCTGAAAAGGATTTATTTATTAGCAACATCATCTTATACGATTTCACCCATGATGATCTTAGTGCTCCTATAAGCAATTTCTTCGAGACGCTGGTCCGCAGATACCAAATGGTCTCTTAAGAGGATCATTCTTGCTACAAAGTGAACAACAGAAGGTAGTGTACAAACCCTTTCCATTGCCACTTCTACAGATCCTGCATCTCACTCTTTTCGACCGCTGTGCATTCACCCCTTGTGTACTTTGTTGGATGAGCGTGGTCGTCAACAAGCATGATCCAACGGCGCTTCTGCTTCATGACTGGCATCATCCACGCTGGTATCTGTGCTATCCTGTCCTCCTCTTCTTGGGATCGATGAATCTGGACAACCTTGGTACGAATTTCTCATGAACACCAGATGACTGGGGACTTCTTTTGGTGGCATTCCAACACGGAAAATCTTGTATGCATCCACTTCAATGAACCCAAGTATCGTACAGAACATTCTGAATCTCCAGTCATGAGTTGGAACTTTTTCTTCTAGTCCCAGTCCACTCTGTCTGAGGTGATTGTGCACATCGATCACAGATGCTCTGTTGAAATATGACTTGATCATGGCTGTTCTTGGAGTTGATATCTTGTTTTTCTTCCCTGTTCCTGGCTGACCCTTCCTTCGATACCGAACTTTCAAATGGGGATCGGTTTCTTCTGTTGATCTACCATTCCCAAGTAATCAACCAAGTACCAATCGACCATCCAGTCGTGCAGGACGCAGAGAAGGTGGGAAGAGGAGGAGGGGAAGAGGAGGGGTGGGGAGGATCAATCGCTGCGTAGTTA